TATTTATTAAACTTATCTAGACAAACGACGTTGGCGTAACTATGATCCTAATTTAACATTATTGGAGCATTGACATTATTGTGTTTGAAGGTAAACTACGTTAATTTAACATCATTGGAGCTTCAACGTTATCGTGTTTGAAGGTAAACTATGTTGATTTAACACCAACAATTAACATTTACCCGGTGGGAAGTGAAGGCACACAAGCAGCCAGATATAATGAGACCTGGGAGGGTAGGAGAGTGGCCCTGGTCGTGGAGGGAGCCGGCTGGTGTAGGCGGGTACAACATGTTTGTCCACTGAGCCTTTCTGGACCCCGCAGGAGCGGCCGGATATAAACAAACTTGGCGAAGCGTGATTTCTCGTGTCTCTTGGACTTGCTGTTGTATAATCATGGTAAAATTGATCTTAATTTGATATGAATGATGCTTTTATAATTAAATTCACTTTTTAATACATTTTCTTTCAATTTGGTGTTTAATGGGAGACTTATCGCTTACAATACTGCAGGAAATCGAGAACAAATTCATATTAAAAGAGAGTTGTTTTCTTAATATTAAAATTGAATATATCGAAGAGCACAGGAAATATGTCCAATATAAACCTCTCAAAATCTTAATATGGCTGTTATATTTTGACTCAAGACGCAACTTGATAAGCCTATCCTCTCGAGCGCTCACGACGTAACTAAACTGATGTATTAAGTTGCCTGAGCCTAACCTAACAGAAGACCCACGAGTAGAAAACGGCACATCACGTCAATTTTGAGATCCGCATTGAAGTTTGGTACGTCGGTTATTGGTCTTAGGGGAATACATGGGTTAAAATGCCATGATGTACAGTTTCAAAGGTCGGGTTGCTCCGTTTTCTGTGTGATAAACGATTTATGGAAATTTAATTCTATTTACCTATGATCTTGACACACACACACACGCACGCACGCACGCACGCACGCACACACACACACACACACACACACACACACACACACAAGTTGTTGTGGCTCTTGTGGCTTAGTGGTGAAAGTACTGGACACGCGCATGGAGCTCCTGGCTGTCTGGGTTCGAATCCCTCCCCAGGGATGAAGGATTTGAACACTTTCTCAAGAGACAAGCTACACGCATAAGACTGCTGCGCAACACAATAGCAACGTTGAAACTGAACACCACAATGTCCTCAGGAGACGAGAGAAAGGCAAAACTGCTGAGATTTATCTAAAACTTTGATCAATGGACCTGATCAAAGAATTTACACACAAGCAAGAAAACAGGGGCCTCGTAGCCTGGTGGATAGCGCGCAGGACTCGTAATTCTGTGGCGCGGGTTCGATTCCCGCACGAGGCAGAAACAAATGGGCAAAGTTTCTTTCACCCTGAATGCCCCTGTTACCTAGCAGTAAATAGGTACCTGGGTGTTAGTCAGCTGTCAAGGGCTGCTTCCTGGGGGTGGAGGCCTGGTCGAGGACCGGGCCGCGGGGACACTAAAGCCCCGAAATCATCTCAAGATAACCTCTTCATGCCAGAACGCTGCACAAAATTGAACACTGGAAAATTTATCCACAAAACAGATAAATTTTTATTGTAATGCATTTTTATTGATGTAAAAATGCATAATGTAGGAGAATTGATGATAAACATGCAGGAATGATTACCTATAGGTGATTAAAGGGGAATAGAGTTGGTGTGAACAAATGCCCATTGGATGGGGGGGGGGGGGTGAATTTGTATTGAATGTCAATGGGGGGAGACCTGGGTAAATACTGGTTTCAAAATTGTGTTGTTGGTTTAATGGAACAAATTATCAGGTAACATATCTATGTTTCAGGCGTAGGTTAGTCATAGGAGTTTGGGTGATTGCAAATAGGAGCTGCCTCGTATGGACCAATAGGAGCTGCCTCGTATGGACCAATAGGAGCTGCCTCGTATGGACCAATAGGAGCTGCCTCGTATGGACCAATAGGAGCTGCCTCGTATGGACCAATAGGAGCTGCCTCGTATGGACCAATAGGAGCCGCCTCGTATGGACCAATAGGAGCTGCCTCGTATGGGTCAATAGGAGCTGCCTCGTATGGACCAATAGGAGCTGCCTCGTATGGACCAATAGGAGCCGCCTCGTTTGGACCAATAGGAGCTGCCTCGCTTGGACCAATAGGAGCTGCCTCGTATGGACCAATAGGAGCTGCCTCGTATGGACCAATAGGAGCTGCCTCGTATGGACCAATAGGAGCTGCCTCGTATGGACCAATAGGAGCTGCCTCGTATGGACCAATAGGAGCTGCCTCGTATGGACCAATAGGAGCTGCCTCGTATGGACCAATAGGAGCTGCCTCGTATGGACCAATAGGAGCTGCCTTGTATGGACCAATAGCAGCTGCCTCACATGGACCAATAGGAGCTGCCTCGTATGGACCAATAGCAGCTGCCTCGTATGGACCAATAGCAGCTGCCTCGTATGGACCAATAGCAGCTGCCTCGTATGGACCAATAGCAGCTGCCTCGTATGGACCAATAGCAGCTGCCTCGTATGGACCAATAGCAGCTGCCTCGTATGGACCAATAGCAGCTGCCTCGTATGGGCCAATAGCAGCTGCCTCGTATGGACCAATAGCAGCTGCCTCGTATGGACCAATAGCAGCTGCCTCGTATGGACCAATAGCAGCTGCCTCGTATGGACCAATAGCAGCTGCCTCGTATGGGCCAATAGCAGCTGCCTCGTATGGACCAATAGCAGCTGCCTCGTATGGGCCAATAGCAGCTGCCTCGTATGGGCCAATAGCAGCTGCCTCGTATGGACCAATAGCAGCTGCCTCGTATGGACCAATAGCAGCTGCCTCGTATGGGCCAATAGCAGCTGCCTCGTATGGACCAATAGGAGCTGCCTCGTATGGACCAATAGCAGCTGCCTCGTATGGGCCAATAGCAGCTGCCTCGTATGGGCCAATAGCAGCTGCCTCGTATGGACCAATAGCAGCTGCCTCGTATGGACCAATAGCAGCTGCCTCGTATGGACCAATAGGAGCTGCCTCGTATGGACCAATAGCAGCTGGCTCGTATGGACCAATAGGAGCTGCCTCGTATGGACCAATAGGAGCTGCCTCGTATGGACCAATAGGAGCTGCCTCGTATGGACCAATAGGAGCTGCCTCGTATGGACCAATAGGAGCTGCCTCGTATGGACCAATAGGAGCTGCCTCGTATGGACCAATAGGAGCTGCCTCGTATGGACCAATAGGAGCTGCCTCGTATGGACCAATAGGAGCTGCCTCGTATGGACCAATAGGTCTTCTATATTATTATATATTCTCATGTCCTTATATATCAGTCCATCCTCCTGTTTTCCGGAAAACTGTTTTCGACTTGTGTTGCAAAGACAAACCTAACCTAACCTTCCAGGTCCTAATACACGATATCTAAGGCTTAATATAGTACATATGTATACTATACTAGACCTAAGAATATTTCTTTTTTTTTTTAGCTTCATTTTTGTCAGGCTCTTATAAAGTATACAGTACAAAGTTCTATCTAATTGTTTAGAACGTCAAGTTCAAAGTGCATAGAACATGAAGTTCTAAGTGCTTAGAACGTCAATCTTTTTACTATAGTTACCAAAACTACTATCTAAACATGGGAATAGGTTGTAAACATTGTGTTTAAAGGTAAATTTCAAATATGCTGAATAAAATAAATCAGAAAATAATATTTATTATATTATAATATAGTGAATAAACCCTATCATGGGTAGTAGGCATCCATGGGTAAAGAATTACCTAACAGGTAAAATTCAAATATGCTGAATGAAGTAAATAAATTGACTGTTTAGTGTTGAGAGACTAGACAACTTTTCAGACTGATTCAGACATTTAAAAAAAAAAACTTTAGAAAAAGGCTGAGGCAAACAGACATGGAAATTGTGCTTTGGAGTAATGTGCTTGAATAACAGAAAGGCTCTTCCTACATTTCAAAGGCTCCAGCCACAGATTCAAGTGTTTCGGAAATTCAAAAAAAATTGTGTTTCTCAAGTTTGCTGTTTGTCTTGGAGTTCCTCACAATTTTAAATCGTACACACACACAAACACACACGCACGCACGCACACACACACACACACGCACGAATTTTTTCAGTGTCAGGGTAGTTAACAAATGGAATGCATTAGGCAGTGATGTGGTGGAGGCTGACTCCATACACAGTTTCAAGTGTAGATATGATAGAGCCCAGTAGGCTCAGGAACCTGTACACCAGTTGATTGACAGTTGAGAGGCGGGACCAAAGAGCCAGAGCTCAACCCCCGCAAACACAACTAGGTGAGTACGCACGCATGCACGCACCCCTCGCACTTACGCACGCAAACGGCAGTGAAGGTTGGGCAGATTGCGTATTTCAGGACTGGCAAAAAGCCTTTGACACAGTACCTCAGACGAGATTGAGATATAAACTTGAAAGGCAGGAGAAGTAAGCGGAAAAGCCTTAACATGGGTAAGGAATTACCTAACAGGAGTCAGAGAGCAACAGTAAGGGAGCCGGTGGCCGAGTGGACAGAACACTGGACGCGTGATCTTGTGGTCCCGGGTTCGATCCCAGGCGCCGGTGAGAAACAATGGGCAGAGTTTCTTTTATCCTGATGCTCCTGTTACCTAGCAGTAAATAGGTACCTGGGAGTTAGTCAGCTGTCACGGGCTGCTTCCTAGGGGTGGAGGCTTGAGGACCGGGCCGCGGGGACACTAAAGCCCCGAAATCATCTCAAGATAAGGTGGGTAAGAAGTTAAAACTGACGTATAGATTACCTCAACGACCGGTGCTGGCTATTTCTTATATATCTAAACGACCTACTTTGTGTTGAAGATCAATAGGGAAGACCTGGGTAAATACTGGTTTGAAAACAGTGTTGCTGGTTTAAGGAACAAATTATCAGGTATAGCGGGAGCCCACCCTGCAATAAACAAAAAAAAATTGCTCCTGACCCCAGCACGGATTCACACCGTACTCGAGGCTAGAGACGGCACATCAGATAGTCTCCCTCTCGTCGTTAGACGTAGTCACAGACCAGCTTGTACCATCAAAAGATTCATGCAATGAAGTCGAGGAGTAGTCTGATTCCATCTGACTCTCCACCTCCACCACTGGGGTCGAGGAGTAGTCTGATTCCATATCCTGACTCTCCACCTCCACCACTGGGGTCGAGGAGTAGTCTGATTCCATCTGACTCTCCACCTCCACCACTGGGGTCGAGGAGTAGTCTGATTCCATATCCTGACTCTCCACCTCCACCACTGGGGTCGAGGAGTAGTCTGATTCCATCTGACTCTCCACCTCCACCACTGGGGTCGAGGAGTAGTCTGATTCCATCTGACTCTCCACCTCCACCACTGGGGTCGAGGAGTAGTCTGATTCCATCTGACTCTCCACCTCCACCACTGAGGTCGAGGAGTAGTCTGATTCCATCTCCTGACTCTCCACCTCCACCACTGAGGTCGAGGAGTAGTCTGATTCCATCTCCTGACTCTCCACCTCCACCACTGAGGTCGAGGAGTAGTCTGATTCCATCTCCTGACTCTCCACCTCCACCACTGAGGTCGAGGAGTAGTCTGATTCCATCTGACTCTCCACCTCCACCACTGAGGTCGAGGAGTAGTCTGATTCCATCTGACTCTTCACCTCCACCACTGGGGTCGAGGAGTAGTCTGATTCCATCTGACTCTCCACCTCCACCACTGGGGTCGAGGAGTAGTCTGATTCCATCTGACTCTTCACCTCCACCACTGGGGTCGAGGAGTAGTCTGATTCCATCTGACTCTCCACCTCCACCACTGAGGTCGAGGAGTAGTCTGATTCCATTTCCTGACTCTCCACCTCCACCACTGGGGTCGAGGAGTAGTCTGATTCCATCTCCTGACTCTCCACCTCCACCACTGAGGTCGAGGAGTAGTCTGATTCCATCTCCTGACTCTCCACCTCCACCACTGAGGTCGAGGAGTAGTCTGATTCCATCTGACTCTCCACCTCCACCACTGAGGTCGAGGAGTAGTCTGATTCCATCTGACTCTCCACCTCCTCCACTGAGGTCGAGGAGTAGTCTGATTCCATCTCCTGACTCTCCACTGAGGTCGAGGAGTAGTCTGATTCCATCTGCTGACTCTCCACCTCCACCACTGGGGTCGAGGAGTAGTCTGATTCCATCTCCTGACTCTCCACCTCCACCACTGAGGTCGAGGAGTAGTCTGATTCCATCTCCTGACTCTCCACCTCCACCACTGAGGTCGAGGAGTAGTCTGATTCCATCTCCTGACTCTCCACCTCCACCACTGAGGTCGAGGAGTAGTCTGATTCCATCTCCTGACTCTCCACCTCCACCACTGAGGTCGAGGAGTAGTCTGATTCCATCTGACTCTCCACCTCCACCACTGAGGTCGAGGAGTAGTCTGATTCCATCTGACTCTCCACCTCCTCCACTGAGGTCGAGGAGTAGTCTGATTCCATCTCCTGACTCTCCACTGAGGTCGAGGAGTAGTCTGATTCCATCTGCTGACTCTCCACCTCCACCACTGGGGTCGAGGAGTAGTCTGATTCCATCTCCTGACTCTCCACCTCCACCACTGAGGTCGAGGAGTAGTCTGATTCCATCTCCTGACTCTCCACCTCCACCACTGAGGTCGAGGAGTAGTCTGATTCCATCTCCTGACTCTCCACCTCCACCACTGAGGTCGAGGAGTAGTCTGATTCCATCTCCTGACTCTCCACCTCCTCCACTGAGGTCGAGGAGTAGTCTGATTCCATCTCCTGACTCTCCACCTCCTCCACTGAGGTCGAGGAGTAGTCTGATTCCATCTCCTGACTCTCCACCTCCACCACTGAGGTCGAGGAGTAGTCTGATTCCATCTCCTGACTCTCCACCTCCTCCACTGAGGTCGAGGAGTAGTCTGATTCCATCTCCTGACTCTCCACCTCCACCACTGGGGTCGAGGAGTAGTCTGATTCCATCTCCTGACTCTCCACCTCCACCACTGAGGTCGAGGAGTAGTCTGATTCCATCTCCTGACTCTCCACCTCCACCACTGAGGTCGAGGAGTAGTCTGATTCCATCTGACTCTCCACCTCCACCACTGAGGTCGAGGAGTAGTCTGATTCCATCTGACTCTCCACCTCCTCCACTGAGGTCGAGGAGTAGTCTGATTCCATCTCCTGACTCTCCACTGAGGTCGAGGAGTAGTCTGATTTCATCTCCTGACTCTCCACCTCCACCACTGGGGTCGAGGAGTAGTCTGATTCCATCTCCTGACTCTCCACCTCCACCACTGAGGTCGAGGAGTAGTCTGATTCCATCTCCTGACTCTCCACCTCCACCACTGAGGTCGAGGAGTAGTCTGATTCCATCTCCTGACTCTCCACCTCCACCACTGAGGTCGAGGAGTAGTCTGATTCCATCTCCTGACTCTCCACCTCCACCACTGAGGTCGAGGAGTAGTCTGATTCCATCTCCTGACTCTCCACCTCCTCCAATGAGGTCGAGGAGTAGTCTGATTCCATCTCCTGACTCTCCACCTCCACCACTGAGGTCGAGGAGTAGTCTGATTCCATCTCCTGACTCTCCACCTCCTCCACTGAGGTCGAGGAGTAGTCTGATTCCATCTCCTGACTCTCCACCTCCACCACTGAGGTCGAGGAGTAGTCTGATTCCATCTCCTGACTCTCCACCTCCACCACTGAGGTCGAGGAGTAGTCTGATTCCATCTCCTGACTCTCCACCTCCACCACTGAGGTCGAGGAGTAGTCTGATTCCATCTCCTGACTCTCCACCTCCACCACTGAGGTCGAGGAGTAGTCTGATTCCATCTCCTGACTCTCCACCTCCACCACTGAGGTCGAGGAGTAGTCTGATTCCATCTCCTGACTCTCCACCTCCTCCACTGAGGTCGAGGAGTAGTCTGATTCCATCTCCTGACTCTCCACCTCCTCCACTGAGGTCGAGGAGTAGTCTGATTCCATCTCCTGACTCTCCACCTCCACCACTGGGGTCGAGGAGTAGTCTGATTCCTCCTGCTGACTCTCCACCTCCTCCACTGAGGGGAAGAATGGCACTTTGGTCGTTACTTTTCTTTCAACCTCTTCCTCAGAAGCCACAAACTCCATGTGATTATGGCCGCATATTCTGCACATATTCTGAAAATACTTCTCCCTTTTCAAGGCCTCGGTTGCGGCCACGTGGTCCCGCCAGGCGCCCAGACCGATACATAAGCACCCCAAGAATCCGAACGGGAAAGGTACTGCACCGAACAGCCCGGCGCCAGTGGCGTAGAAAACCGGGCCCGCGTTCCAGCCGGGGACAGGAGGGACTTCCTCTTTCATCTGAGGATTCATGCACTTCTGGCAGTCCTCTGTGCAAGGGTATCGGTATTTGTTCGGTATTGCCATCAGCAACGCCGGCCGGACACTCTTGGGTCGCGTTCCTGCTGCTGGAACACCAGTAGCCGTTCCTGCTGGAGCTGTAACCGCTCCTGCTGGAGCAGCTGTAGCCTCTCCTGCTGGAGGAGGTGTAGCCGCTCCTGCTGGAGCTGTAACCGCTCCTGCTGGAGCAGCTGTAGCCTCTCCTGCTGGCGGAGCAGAAGCCTCGCCGCAGGCTCCACGAGGCTCCTGCAAGAGGAGACATAGGCCCCCAACCAGCCAAATCCCTAAATCCTGGACCACACAAACCAGGCAGTTAACGGTGGCACCCCAGAGCCCCAGGAGAACGAGCGTGCCCACCAACATACCCAGCAGCGCTGATGCCCAGAAATGCACGAGTCCCCCCGGTGGTTCTACGCCCCGAGCGCGCCCTTGGGTTCTCAGGTTCGAGAACCGCTGCCAGAGTCGGTTCAGAGTAGGTAATCTACCCAACCAGGGCAGGCTGACGACGCCTGGAGGCTCATGCCCCCGCAGGAAGCTAATGGCGCCAAAGGTAAAGAAAGGTTCCATGACAGACTCCAGCTCCTGGTTCACCGCCTTGGTGACGGTGATCAAGCACTGCGCTAAGCACTCCGCCAGGCTCTCAAACACCACAAACTGAGTTAAAACCCGTAAACCAAACATATTATAAGATTTAGTTTTGCATCATTTGTGCCTTTATGCTTTTCATTGCACGGAAGTTGAATGAGACATGGTTAAATGTTGCAACAGGAAAAGAGGGATGAATTGTGACAGGATTCTGACTGATCTGTTGACTGTCTGACTGATCCTCTGACTGGAAAGCGCTCAGCCTCTTAACAGGAATCAGAAAACGTCTTCACGCCTGTCACAGCCCCACTCCTGTTCCGGGTAAGTCCACTACGGGCTCACCATAGCCCGTGCTACTTGGAGAAGCTGAATCTATAACAACGCCTTCAATCTCTCAAATGACACAACTACCCAATGTTAGATGCAGTGAAATGAGGTGAATCACTGCTAACAGACGTTACCTTTACATAAACATACCACTTTTAACGTTCAAATCATCTTATATGTCATTCTACCAAGATTGGGCACCATTCCTTTCCCCCGTCCCATCCCAAAACCTTATCCTAACCCCTTCCAAGTGCTACATAGTCATAATGGCTTGTCACTTTCCCCCTGATAAATTCCCTCCCCTCCCTACCAACTCAAACATCTCAATAAATGGATAATGACAATGAAAAAAAATAATTTCAGGCTCTACAGATGTACTGTTATTTTTTTTAGCTAAGATCTTCTTCACTAAATAAAATTTTAATAATATTATTACTTCTAATAAAAACAATATTAGCATTATTTTGTCAAAGTTAAATATGCAACAGATTATTTATCTTCATTATAGGTGATAAAAGAGTATATTATAACTATTGGAATAATAATAATAAGAAGTTATGAAAAATGTACCAAAAGCAATTACCGTTTCATTTCCTTTTCCCGACTAGTCTGGTCAGCAGCCCCAAGGAAACATATTATCCTAACACAGCGGAGTTTACTACGGGCTCACCATAGCCCGTGCTGCTTAGAACTTTTTTGTTCCGAGTAGCGAATGTTGAACAGGAACAGTAGTAGTTTACTACGTGGGTGCTCACTAAGGGGGTGTGTCCCCTACGTGGGTGCTCACTAAGGGGGTGTTTCCCCTACGTGGGTGCTCACTAAGGGGGTGTGTCCCCTACGTGGGTGCTCACTAAGGGGGTGTGTCCCCTACGTGGGTGCTCACTAAGGGGGTGTGTCCCCTACGTGGGTGCTCACTAAGGGGGTGTTTCCCCTACGTGGGTGCTCACTAAGGGGGTGTGTCCCCTACGTGGGTGCTCACTAAGGGGGTGTTTCCCCTACGTGGGTGCTCACTAAGGGGGTGTTTCCCCTACGTGGGTGCTCACTAAGGGGGTGTGTCCCCTACGTGGGTGCTCACTAAGGGGGTGTTTCCCCTACGTGGGTGCTCACTAAGGGGGTGTTTCCCCTACGTGGGTGCTCACTAAGGGGGTGTGTCCCCTACGTGGGTGAACACATTCAATAATCTCTGAAAAAAAAGAGTCTTGCTAGCCATAATTTACCCGTAGTCCCATAAAACAGACTAATCTCTCTCAGCTTCAGGGGGTTCTCAAGCCCTAGTTGCTCTCAACGTAACTGGGCTAACTATTGTATTTTGTAATAATTCACACCACTAAGCCTCTTCCTTACCAGGGTCCCACCCACACAGCAATAAGAAAATAATATTTTGTATAGTATAGAGATATTGATGGATGGATGGAAAGCTAGAGCGAGGATCTATCTTGAGATGATTTCGGGGCTTTAGTGTCCCCGCGGCCCGGTCCTCGACCAGGCCTCCACCCCCAGGAAGCAGCCCGTGACAGCTGACTAACACCCAGGTACCTAATGTACTGCTAGGTAACAGGGGCATAGGGCGAAAGAAACTCTGCCCAATGTTTCTCGCCGGCGCCTGGGATCGAACCCAGGACCACAGGATCACAAGTCCCGCGTGCTGTCCGCTTGGCCGACCGGCTCTCCATATAGTTCAAGGGTTTATTGAACAAGTGGGAAAGACTACGTGAGCCAAGGGGGATCCAAGCTACGGCCACTGAATTGAGGGTGGGATTGAGCTAAGAGAGAAAACCGAAAAGAAGAGAATTGTAGGTGAAAGCAATTGCTTGGATCAAGAATAGGCTTTGCTTCCCGGGAGTCGGTCGGCCGAGCGGACAGCATGCGGGACTTGTGATCCTGTGGTCCTGGGTTCGATCCCAGGCGCCGGCGAGAAACAATGGGCAGAGTTTCTTTCACCCTATGCCCCTGTTACCTAGCAGTAAATTAGGTACCTGGGTGTTGGTCAGCTGTCACGGGCTGCTTCCTGGGGGTGGAGGCCTGGTCGAGGACCGGGCCGCGGGGACACTAAAGCCCCGAAATCATCTCAAGATAACCTCAAGATAACCTTCCCCAGCAAACACACAACGTATCGGATCCTATTGTTTCCTGGTTACAACATGTTACATCGTGTTATATATATATAGTTTTTATGACGAAGTTGTTACAGTTTGTTTATATTGGTTATTACAACTTATTAGGCGTTATAACTTGTTCCAACGTTGTTTCAACGTTGTAGCCACGTTGCAGGAACGCTGTGGCAACGTCGTAACAACGTCGTAGTTTCGTAGTGTGTTTTAGCGGGTTCACAACATGGGACGCGGGAATTATTGCACATTTAGGTGTTGAGAAAAAAAAAGGGGTAGAAGAAAACGGGTAAAACAAATGAATAGAAAATCGAAGCCCGAATTGTATTTCGCTTTCAGGATAATTTGTGAATCTTTTTTTATGGGAGGAGGATAAAGTATGAAGTTAAATTTGATGATTTTAAGACCTGAAGACATTGGTGGCAGGCTGATGTGTAGGCAATATGTTGAGTTATGAAGATAACTGAGTAATGTCACTAGCCCAGCACACACACTAAGCTAAAAGGGCTCCTTCTTCATGTCCTAGGGCTTGAAGAACCCTAGGATGGAAGCCCTAGGATGGAAGCCCTAGGATGGGAGCCCTAGGATGGGAGCCCTAGGATGGAAGCCCTAGGATGGAAGCCCTAGGATGGGAGCCCTAGGATGGGAGCCCTAGGATGGGAGCCCTAGGATGGAAGCCCTAGGATGGAAGCCCTAGGATGGAAGCCCTAGGATGGAAGCCCTAGGATGGAAGCCCTAGGATGGAAGCCCTAGGATGGAAACCCTAGGATGGAAGCCCTAGGATGGGAGCCCTAGGATGGGAGCCCTAGGATGGAAGCCCTAGGATGGAAGCCCTAGGATGGAAGCCCTAGGATGGGAGCCCTAGGATGGAAGCCCTAGGATGGAAGCCTTAGGATGGAAGCCCTAGGATGGAAGCCCTAGGATGGAAACCCTAGGATGGAAGCCCTAGGATGGAAGCCCTAGGATGGAAGCCTTAGGATGGAAGCCCTAGGATGGAAGCCCTAGGATGGAAGCCCTAGGATGGGAGCCCTAGGATGGAAGCCCTAGGATGGAAGCCCTAGGATGGAAGCCCTAGGATGGAAGCCCTAGGATGGAAACCCTAGGATGGAAGCCCTAGGATGGAAGCCCTAGGATGGAAGCCCTAGGATGGAAGCCCTAGGATGGAAGCCCTAGGATGGAAGCCCTAGGATGGAAACCCTAGGATGGGAGCCCCTAGGATGGAAGCCCTAGGATGGAAACCCTAGGATGGAAACCCTAGGATGGAAGCCCTAGGATGGAAGCCTTAGGATGGAAGCCCTAGGATGGAAGCCCTAGGATGGAAGCCCTAGGATGGGAGCCCTAGGATGGAAACCCTAGGTCCTCTAGGAAGGGCCCTGAAGAGTCCTAGGGGCCCCCCGTCAAGTCCTGGGCCCTTTTGAAAGAGGTCCGGGATATAAGGAACTCGAACCCACAGAACCACCACCACCATCCCACATCTATAGATGGGTTTGGATAACTGTTACAACCATGCTGTTGTGACTTGCTCGCTGCACGAGTAGGTTTTAAGATGGCGTCTTAGAAGAGGCAAATGAATGCACCGTCAATATTTGTTGCAGAATAAATCACAGGGGAGCCGGTCGGCCGAGCGGACAGCACGCTGCACTTGTGATCCTGGGTTCGATCCCAGGCGCCGGCGAGAAACAATGGGCAGAGTTTCTTTCACCCTATGCCCCTGTTACCTAGCAGCAAAATAGGTACCTGGGTGTTAGTCAGCTGTCACGGGCTGCTTCCTGGGGGTGGAGGCCTGGTCGAGGACCGGGCCGCGGGGACACTAAAGCCCCGAAATCATCTCAAGATAACCTCAAGAAGGAGTAAAAACTAACAATACTTTAAATGCCGTAGAAGCTTGGATAAGAAAGAGATCGGAAAGTTGTAATACTTTTTCAATTTGTGAGTAATAGGCTTGAAGGAGCG